CGAATTGCTCTGCAAAAAAGTAGACAAGGAACACGAGGAAGGTGTCACCGTCTTGAATTGCACCATTGAAATTCCTCCAGCGACCGGTGTGGCCGATACCCGGTGTGGTACATTGATCCAGGTCACACATCATGTCTCGATTCAACTCAATACCAAAGTCTTCTTTACCAATCCCGGATTCAAGTTTCCCATTAAAATCGTCCAAGGAGCCATTCCGACCAGTTATCAAGAAGAGAAACTGGCCGAAGAAATTCCCAACTGTCCACCAGTGGACGACAATCATCATCATCCAAGTAGTGAAAAAGCCATGTTGGAAGACTTGATTACAAAAGTCATGAGTCAATCCACCGATGATTTACACATTATCGAAGAACGACTGCCAGAACCGAAATGGAACCGCATCTTTGCCGCACTGACACCGTACGATTTTGGTCGATTGTTGGAACAAGTCCATTTGGAAGTCAATTTGATTCCCGTCGCTACCTTGTTGGCATCGCGTTTGACTCAAGAATTATTCTCGTGTAGTCATATTGTCGCTGGATTGCCGCACACGACAACCGCCACGAGGTGTACGTTTGTGGAACAATTGCTGCCGTATTGTCACGATTTGCAAGACAACTATACGCTCATTACCAAAAACACATTGCTATTATCGCAATGGGAACGATTGGCCATTGAACCAGCGGTACAAGAAGCACTGGAGCACGCCAAAAAATCCAAAGCTCCATTGCATCACTTGTTGGGGAAAATGCGACAGTTAGTGACTGCCGATTGATCGAGTGAATGAATGAGTGAGTAAACAGTTTGCTTGCTTGATCAATCATAATGGAATAAGATAGATGTCGGGCCAGTAAGGAGGGAATGCCGCAAGGTCTGCAAACCTGTAGGCAATCCTTGTTTGAAAGAAAAAAATGTCCGACCAGGCCTCCCGAAAGGTTTGTGGATATGCAAAGCAATCACAATCGGAGTCTCGGTTTTGCGGCATCAAAATTGTAATAGGACAACTTTCAAGTGTCCTAGCTAGGGGGATGGGCAAATCTTGCTATAGTGCTGTAGTGTACTCAAAAGGAGTTAATCAGAATGTCAGAAAAAGGAGAAAATGAATATTTTAGCGGGAAGCAAGATTCAATTGGATTAGATTGCATTGGATTAGATTGAATTGGATTGAATTGGATTCCATCTAGTACTGTTATTTATATAGTAAGCTGGATTCCACTTTTAGGTCAAGTGGAGCTACTAGACTATAGCAAGATCATGTCAATATGGGTCTATAGAGGTTGTAAACCTCCCCTCCAGACTAGGATCCAGGCAAAGGCA